TAAACACATTCAATGATTTTTTTGAGGCTTTTTCTGGCTTCTTACTTATTATCTTACACACAATCGAATCATTTAATATATTTATCTGCAATAAAATGGTTTTAAATTAAATAGTTCATTTAAATTGATTACAAACTTATGAAGTGTACAAGCAACTCTGGAATTATAACTGTGACCTCAATGTGCCTTATTATGTTTGTTTTAGATGCATTAGATGCACAAAGCTGAGATTCCTGAAGGCCACTGCAGTACAGTGACCCCTCCTCATGATGTTTGTGCTTTTGCTGCCCAGATAAATAGCTTTAAACAACTGGACGGTGACCAACTGCAGAATCAGGGCTGCTTCAAAACACAGTAAAGAGTAAATAAAGGCACTGATGGTTGTTTCGGCAGCGCGGCTCAGCTCGGCCCATTAGCAGTAAGACGAGAAAAGGACTCTGCCCCAGTCAAAGGAGAGCCCTGTCTGATGGTGAGCACTGATCAGCGAGCCTGCACTGAGCTTAATGGGAGAAACGAGGGGCCGGAACATTTGGAGCGGAGAAAAGAAGCCCAAGCGGAGTGAAGGAGCTGAGGGAAGTGAGGAGAAATGCAGATTTGATCCTGTTAGAGATGGAATAATTAACAACTCAATTAAAATTCCCAGCACAGAGCAGAGGTGGCAGAGAAAACTCCTGTGAAATGCAAATTAACACAGAGAGAAAGAGAGAGAGAGAGAGAGAGAGAGAGAGAGAGAGAGAGAGAGAGAGAGAGAGAGAGAGAGAGAGAGAAAGTAAGGGAGGGTATAAAAAGAACAAAAAGAGAGGGAGAAGAGAGAGAGAGTAAGGGAGAGAAAAGAGAAAGAACAAAAAAAGTAGAGAAAGAAGAAAGTGTGTGAAAGAGAGTGAGTAAAAAAAAGGAAAAAGAACAAAAAGGGGAAAGAAAGAAAGAAAGAAAGAAAGAAAGAAAGAAAGAAAGAAAGAAAGAAAGAAAGAAATAGCGAGAGAAAGAAAGAAAAAGAAAGACAGAAAGAAACAGAGAAACAAATAAAGAGGAAGGGAGAGAGGGAGAGAGAGAGGGAGGAAGGTAGAGAGGGAGGGAGATGGAGGTGAAATAAAGTAAGTAAAAAAGAACAAAGGAGAGAGAGAAAGCAATAGCGAAAGGAAGGGAGACAAAACAAAGAGAAAGAATCAAAGAAGAGAGAATAAAGAGGTGCAAAAGAAAACAGAAAAAGACAAGAGAGAGACAGATGGGAAGAAAGAGAAAAAGAGAGCACGAGAGAAGGAAAGAGAAACGTGAGAGAAGAAGAAGAAAGAGAGAAAGAACAGTAGAGGAGAGAACGAAGGTGAAAGAAAGATAGGGAGAGAAGCAGGGAAAGAGGGAAGGATGGAGAGGGAGATGAAACAAAGTAAGCGAAAAAGGAGAAAGAACAACAGAGAAGAGAGAGACAGTAATAGAGAGAAATGGAGATAAAATGGAGACATACAGAAAGAATGAAAGGAGAGAAGAGAGAGAGGAAGTGATCAACGAAACGGAGAACGTAAGAGAAAGTAGAAAGAAAGAACAAGAGAGCAGAGAGAAAAGGAAAAAGAGAAAAAAGAACAGAAGAGGTGCAAAAGAAGACAGTAAAGAGAGAGAGATGGGGAAAAAGAGAAAGAGAGCAAGAAAGAAAGGAAGAAAAGAAAAACAGAGAGTAAGTGAGAGAAGAAGGAGAGTAAGAGAAAGAACAGAAGAGGAGAAAAAGAAGAGAGAACATATCTATCTATATATATATATATATATGGAGAGAGAGAGAGAGATAAAGAAACAGCGAGAGAGAGAGAGGAAAAAGCGAGAGAGAGAGAGAGAGAGAGAGAGAGATAAAGAAACAGCGAGAGAGAGGGAAAATGGGAAAAAGTAAGAGAAGGAAAGAAAGAAAGGAGAGCGAGAGAGCACGAGAGAGCGAGAGAGATAAAGAAACAGCGAGAGAGAGAGAGGAAACAGCGAGAGAGAGAGAGAGAGAGAGAGATAAAGAAACAGCGAGAGAGAGGGAAAATGGGAAAAAGTAAGAGAAGGAAAGAAAGAAAGGAGAGCGAGAGAGCACGAGAGAGAGCGAGAGAGATAAAGAAACAGCGAGAGAGAGAGAGGAAAAAGCGAGAGAGAGAGAGAGATAAAGAAACAGCGAGAGAGAGAGAGAGAGAGAGAGAGAAAGAGAGAGAGAGAGAGAGAGAGAGAGACTCTTGGTAGCTGCCCATTAAACCACAGGTGCTTTAGCGATGAGACACTCTGGATGGAGAGACTCAAACTCTGGTCTCTTCCAGCCTCATAATCGCGCTGTTTAATCCTGTGATTAAAAACTGGCCAAACGTCCGGCAGCATTAATCTTTATTACTGGGTCGACTGACAGAATAACGGATGAGTGTGGTCCTGCGGACGGGGCAGGAGAAACACTGTCCAAAAATACCCCCTCCTGCACCTCCTCCACGTTTTTTTCCCTTCCCCTGCAGTACAACATGATGAATTCATGCATGACAAGAAATAATAAATACACCTCTGATATTTGAGCACGAACAATATATCAGCTGCTGAGAGCTTCTGGACCGCAGCCTGTTCAAAATTCATCATCTCCGAGAACGGCGGCCGCGGCCACTTTCTCAGCATTAAAGCCTCGCCGCTCGTGTCGTCCCGGAAAAAGACGGATACTGTAATTCGCGTCCCTGTAAACACAGCGCGCTGGGATGAAGATGTCACCTCCCGCTCCGAACGCAAACAGATCCGGTGGAAAAATAAATCCGCCGCATATTGACACGTGTGATTAGGGCAGAGGTAAACAAATGATTAGCGTCACCGTATCTTATCACGCTCCGGCTTATTGGAACTCCGAGGGCGGAACGTTCGGGCTGGTGAAAACCCCGCTGGGAAGAAAAAGCTGGCTTTCAGGAGTTAGTAATCAATGACGGAAGTGTTGCGGGAGAGGTGAGGAATAAAGGAGAGAGGTGAGGAATAAAGGAGAGCAGATGAGTCTGAGGCGTGTGGGTTTATGATTGCAGAGGAGAGAAGTGCGATGATGAAGATGAACCTGATCAAGCCTGTGATGAAAAGCAGCGGCATGAAGGACCTCGCTGTCAAACTCAGACCAGTGTCTACGTCAACAAACCGCCAGTGTCGGAAAGAAAACTTCGGAATTTAAAAATCTGGCTTTTACATTGCGCCAAAATTTCATGATGAATGGACCAATAGGAAGAGTCCAAAATTACTTGGAATAAATAATTCCACTGAAAGTCAAGAACATTTTCCTTCTCTTATCAATTTAACTTTTTGGAAACACGAGATTTTGCTCTGACAACATATGAAGATGTGTGTCCATAAAAGAAAACTAAACCACTAAATTATTTTCTTTCAATCTTTTTTCACCTTATAAGCTCATATTAAGCACAATTCATCCTATAAAGGAGAATTTAAATGGTCATGATGTAAACAAAGTCGTTGAGAGTGGTAAGTGTTGTAGAGAAACTTACTGAATCAGAAACGTTCACAGTGGTTTTGATAGGAACCAGACGTCTGAAGAGTTTAACGCCTCTAAAAGTTCCCTCACAGAAAGCTGTTACATGAAATGGTTACAAATATGCTGCCTGATGTTGTTTTATAATAGTCTTGAATCAGTTATATTGATGGTGGAGAGGTACATTTTCTTTATTTTAGCACTATTTTACCATTATTAATATGAGAATAAATACATAATGTATAATATAATGGCTATATTTGAGATGTAGGCCTCAGGAACCAGGGGTTGCATCAGAACCACTGTAAAGAGTCCGTAAGTTTCTCTAGGATAAACCATTTCACATCAATGCACTCTGACTTTGTCTACATTTTAATTACTAAATTATGCAGAAATTATATACATCACTACTGTCGGAACAAAACCTTGTATCTCCATTTTTGCCGTTTTTCAGTTTGTCATATAATTTGAAAATGCCAGTCACCCTTTACACTGTGCTCAAATTTCATGATAAATGGCCCAAAATTACTTGGAAAAATTCTGGTTCCATTGACTTACATTAGAAGTAAAGTATGTTTTTTCCTTCTGTGAAGTCTCCATTTTGGAGATTGGATGAAGATTGGACCAATAGAAATGCTCCAAAAATGCTTGGAATACAATCTCTTCACATCAACTTACACTGAAGGTGACGAATGTTTTTGCCCTCTCCTGTAAAGTTACTATTTTGGAAAATTTTTCTTTTGACAGCAACAATATATATTTAGCACATATCGTATATCGTAGCATTATGGCTGCCCGGACTGGCTGTTTGAAAGCTATGTCGTAGCCTTCTCCAGCCACTCGAGTGATGCTATACTGCAGCTACGTTTCTGGCAGGACTGACTGCTTGAATGGCGTTAGATTATAGGTATGCGGCTGCTCGAGCAGCGCTACATCACTGCTTTGCGGCTGCTTAGACCGGCCGCTTGAGCGGCGTTACATCATAGGTATGTGGTTTCCTGGGCCGGCCACTTAAGCAGCGCTACATCACAGCTACGTGGCTGCCTGGACCGACTGCTTGAGTTATGCTTCACCACAGCTATGAGGCTGACTGGATTGCTGGTGTTCAGCTGCATGAACGACGCTACCCATTTATGGCTGAGGACTTTTTCTGGGGGAATCCCAGGCTAGCTGCCTGGGTGATGCTACACTGCAGGACCCCTGGGCAGAGAGGGTCTTTCTCCCACGGACTGCTTCCATGCCAGCAAAGTGAGTCTACACTATGGTCCGGGGAGTTTGCCCTCCTGTGTGTGTGTGTGTGTGTGTGTGTTGTGTGTTGTGGGTTGTTTGATTTCTTTTTGATAATGTATTTTTTACTTCTGTAAAGCATCCATGGGTTTGAAAAAGGTGCCATATAAATTAAAATGAATATTATTATCATCATTCACCATCACACCAGCTCGTCGTGTTGTTTCAGGTATAATCCACATCACTCAAAAACGCTGCTGTTTCCCAGCGGAACAATGGGTTGCGCCCCAGCTTTGGATTCCACATGAACTCTTACCTTCGGGTCAGCAGTGAGCAGCTTGAAGGCTGCGTACACCTGGTTCTCCTTCACTCCTCCTCCCAGGTCCAGGAAGTTAGCCGGTTTGCCGCCGTGCAGGTCAATGATGTCACATGTTGCCATGGCGAGGCCGGCACCATTTACTGTAATGGGCAAACACAACAAAGGCATGAACATCACATGTGTGAAACGCCTGGAAACAACGGATTAAGAAACAGAACTAAGTGAGAGGCACAACATGTTTGTATGAGACTGATGTCCAACAGGAATGTGCACAACTAATCAAATACCGGGTAAATCCTTTCAGACCGCAGTGATCAAATGCTAAAAATGTAATTTTTAGAAAAATATTTGGACAGCACGAGTATAATTTGTATGCTAAGAATGCTTGTGTCTGTGTCATTAGTCTATGCCAACATTAATAAATATTCAAAAGATTATTGTCTAGTATTCTAATACTGAAATCATTATTCTAATATATATATATATATTTCCGGCATTTCAGTCTAGTTCAATTCACTTACAAGGTATGTATGTTTTTCCCTTCTCCAATTTTGTATCTCCAATTTTGTCATTTTTCAGTTTTTGACATAATTTTCAAAATACCTGTTGTCCTTTACGTTGTGTGTAAATTTTATGAAGAATGGGCCAAAAGAAACGGCCCAAAATTACTTGTAAAAATGTCTGGTTCCACTGACTTACATTAAAAATAAAGTATGTTTTTCCTTCTCCTATAAAAATACCATTTTAGAGATACATATGTATGTGTATGTGATTTTTATCTAATTTACTCCCTAATTTATTCATTGCCGATTCAACCGCCCAGCTTCAGTCATATGCAAATGTTTGGGCACCCCTGTTCAAATTACATCGTCTACAGAGACCACACCTCTGCACACCTGTGCACTAAAATTTACAAAGAAATTCCATATTAAAGATTGGAAGAAAAAAAAAAATAGAAATTATGGAGCCCTGATATTCACTATACTTTAAAGGGCTAATATTATGGAAACATCTTTGCAGCATTTTTAAAATAAAATTACATGTACAATACACACACTTTCAAAGTTTCAAAACATAGCATGTACTCCACATTCTATATGGTCCATTTATGCTAAAATAAACACAAAACATGCACAAAATATAAACAAAAAAATATTCACAGCCACATATACACATTTCCACATATCTATCTATTCAGCCTACATGCTCAAGTTATGAGGAGTGCTTGGGCTGCTTTTGGAATGAGCCAATCAGAGCAGAGGTCACTGACATACATCAGTCTTAAAGGCAAACTAACAAAAACCGGTTTAACTGAGTGCTTAAGAACCTGAGGCGAATGTGAGCTTCACTCTACCAACTGTCAGTGGTCAGGAATGGCGTTCAACGCTGTTTAAAAAAAGAAAACCTGAATGAAAAACTCACTAATCTAATTGTGTATCAGCCCGGCTGTCGGACAGATAAGTGAATCAGACCACAGGTCTGTTGAACATCAGCAGTAGCAGTAGTTGTGGTGTTAGCTGGCCTATCGAACCCGCCTCATTACTCCTGCAGCCGAGCCAGGAGCTCGAGTGTTTTCCTGCAGCTAGAGTCCAGTTCTGGCTTGGTAAGCACTCTCAACAAAGAAAAACTCACTTTAGCAGCCGTCACATGTTCAAACCAGCATCTCATGTCTATAGCTGTGTACTTACAGCATGTAACAAAGTCCTTACAGGCCTTTTTCACAGTGCCCTCAGGCAGCTACTTCCAGTCATACAGGACCAGACTCACCTTCAGTTGGGGCCTAACAACACCCCTTGAAGGAGAACTCCACTCATTTTTCAAATGGTCTGCATAATTAAACAATTAAGAGGTAAACAAAGTCATTGAGGGAGCTTTGATGTGTCTTCATTTTAGAAAAATGTGCTGAGTCAGAATTGTTTACAGTGGTGGTGATGGGAACCAGACATCCAAAACGTTTAATGCCTCTAAAAGCTACTTCACAGGAAGTTATTTTACAAATAAAGAGTGAGATTGTTGCAAATACACTGTCTGACGCCTGAGACATGGTTTTATGGTAGTACTGCAATAAAGTTTTGGCATAAAATGTTTTCAAAATGTTTCCTTAATATACATTTATGGCGGAGAAGTACATGTAAGGAGTAATAAGGCAAAACAGCCCCCAAAGAAAATTTACTTTTCAGATTTATTATTTTACCACTATCATCATCATATATCAAACACAGCCAGCTGTAGGTGGTGTTGGGTAGTAAATAAAATGGCTATATTTGTGCTGTAGACATCGCGACCCCTGGTTCCTATCACCACCACTGTAAAGAATGACTGAATGATTGCATTATGTTGGATTCTTTACAAAATTGGTCGAATTCCCCTTCAACAGCTGCAAAATCACTGTAACACAGTCGCTTGTGGTTTATTGCTTTAAATGCGATTTTCTCCTATAATAATAACACAGCAGTAACACAACACCATGTTGAGCTACTCTATTCATTTCCCTCTGATGATTTCTCCCAATACAGATAGCTTGCAGTGTCAATGACCTAATCTTGTCTTTCTTAGGGTGTAGGGAGTCTTTTTTGTTTCACCCTCCAGCCTTAAAGTCATGATTTCCGAAGAAACGCAGCTTTAATGACAACTCGAACCGTCTCTCTGTCTCGCTGAGCCGTTTTCTAGAGGTTTCTCACTAATTGGAAGCCATTGCTTCCAGCAGGTCTCATCAGGAGCGGCTAGATAGCTGTGTAAGAGCCTGACTGGAATAAAGCCTACGTGGTTATACTTTCGCATAGTTCAATAATTTCAAGATCAAAATAAGACCCTCTAAGATAAGACGCTGAGGAACTGGAGATAACAACTCCCCAGACGTGTCTTTATCACACTCTCCACAGTTCATAAAGAAGCGCACAGTCTCACAGTTTCTTGTCAGGTTGAACTCTCAGAAGGGCTGATCTGGCGGGTGATGGTATCGGGCGATACGTTAGACCAAACACATGCCAACCCGTATGCTGACCATTGAAAGACTGGGGACGCCTAACTTTACAAACCAAATGTTTTCATAAATGCTTACTTTCAATAAACGAACATGTTTACTTTGTCTGTAAACGTGTTGTAAACTGATATATTAAAGTCTAAACAGGTTAAGAAATAAAATATTATCTATTTAACATTCCATAAAGTGCACTGCAGCAATTTCAGTTAAGTAGAAACAATCATGCTCTCTTTGTAATGAAATATGCAGTTATGTAAGAATAATATACACAGCATGAGCCGAAAACCATATTGTGATGTGATTAGTCACAACAATAAATTACAATTAATATTATTATTAATTAATAAATAAATTAATATTTGTTAAAATACAGAAAAACAACTGTTACAAGAAAACCTGATGTCTTTCTGTCTGTTTCTGTTTCTTTTTTTAATTATTTGATTTAAAAAGCTGCTCTCACACTTTTGTGAACAATTAATGATGAATGGACCAATAAAATTGATCCACCTGGATTGCTTACAATTAAATTTTGTTACATTAACACAGATGTTTATGAACATTATTTCCTTCTCGTCTACAAATTTTGGAGAACAAAACTAAAGCAAATCAAAAAAGACTTCACAATTGTAATTGCTGCAAACATATTTTTATATATATATATATATATATATCATGTATATAAAAAAACAGAAAAATATAGATAAAATATATTAAATATCAGAATGTTATATACTTCAAAGCTATAATACGCTGTATATTATAATATTTTATTCAGCTTTTTCGTTCAAATTTTCTATTCTACTTAAACAGAGCAGCAGGGGGAGTCGTAGGTTGGAGGAGGGTACCAGCCTTGTGAACGGAAGGTTGCCAGTTCAATCCCCTGAGCTAACAGGACATGACTGAAGTGCACTTGAGCAAGGCACCTAACCCCCAACTGCTCCCTGTGGCGACATGGATAGGGCTGCCCACCGCCCTGGTCAAGTGTGCTCACTGCCCCCTAGTGTGTGTGTTCACTAATGTGCGTGTGTGTGTTTTACTGCACAGATGAGTTAAATGTGGAGGTCAAATTCCTCTGTGTGTAAGCAGAGTTAAATCAATGGTTCAAAATGTTCTATTCTACCTTAAACAGAGCAGCACATACATTCTGGCAACTGTACCGGCGCCTGAATGTAACTGCTGCACCATTTAAGGTAGAGCGGCTATTCTTTTGTGTCCAACTCAGATGACATGGACTAGACAGCGGGAAGTGATCGGGGCGTCTGCTGCATTTTCATTTCCATTTGAAACATGATTGAAACATCCCTGACTCAGCCATTCACCTAAACATGCTAACTCTAGTGTGGTTTGCACTGTTTGTAAGTCACACTGTCTGAGTTTATAGGTGTTATATCACTGTAACTCATACCCGAGGAAGAATTCCAACGGTACACCGCCCACTACTATGGACACTCAATATTTCAATTTTTCCAGACATTTTTGACCGTTGTTCTTGCCGAAAAACGAACTAAACTGTTTTTACTGTCTAATTTTAGTAATTATTACATGTGATATTGTTTCCTCTAAATGAGCTTGATCAGTCTTTAATGTGTAAAGTTATTACAAACCAATAAAGAACATTTGCTGATTTATTAAAAGAGGAAAACGTACCGAAGCAGGCGATGTTTCCATCCATGCCGATGTATTTGAGGTCATATTTGGCCGCCTCGGTTTCGATGGGGTCACTCTCGGCCGTGTCGTCCATGGCGAAGACGGTTTTCTGGCGGAACTCCGCGTTGTCGTCAAAGTTTATTTTGGCGTCGAAGCACACAACTGAGAAAAACATGAGCACAACAAAAGCATTAGTGCTGGTTTTCTGTTTGCAGACAAAAGTCTGGATACACCAGACTGAAGGGTTAATATAAATGTTTTTCATAATCTTTTTGATCCATATATTACATCATACATGTTTTAAGGCTTATGCTTAAATGCATATGCTTCCAAGACACAGTAGTGAAATAGTGAAGTTAAAGGTGTGAATATATATATATATATATATATATATATATATATATATATAACTCTTAGAATTAAACAGATTGTTTCTGTTGGTGTTTCTTAAAGACTGATAATATACAAATGAGTTCTGTTCTGATTGGTTGCCATGTATTGGGGCTTGAAACACTCCTTAGCACTCATTAGCACTTTAAAGTGAATGGGTGTGGCTAAACTGCTGTAGGCTGAATTTATGTACGTGGATGAGCTGGCTCTTGTGACAAACATTCTTTAAGTTTTTGTGATATCATATTTCATAAAGCTCTTGTATAAAAAAAAGGAACTTTTTCCATGATATGGATCCTTTAATGTTTATTTTACAGTGCACAATCTTTCCACATATTTTTCCTTTATTTACTCATTTGTTTTCTGTGCTTGACTTTATTATCAGTTCTACGTCCTCTATCCCTTTATGAGTGGTGTGTTTCTGACCCCACATGACCACTGGATATTTTTATTTGGGGGGATTATTCTGAAATACTACATTATACAGTGACTCTTCACCCTCGCCTTTGGGCCTTATTTTAGATTCGAATGCCTCTAATAGTAAAAATAAAGTTTTTTAGACGCTGTTTGACTTTTTAAAATATATTTTAAGACTTTATAAGACTTTAAGGCTCTTTCTACAGTTTCCTTTCTATCAACCACCTTCCATTAAAACCTATTCATTTAGTAAATTCTTACATTTTCAAGGTACAGTCATTGACCTAAGCAGAAAGTTTAAAAAAAAATGGGCGTGGCTAAACTCCTGTAGGCTGAATTTATGTATGTAAATGAGCTGGTACTTGTGACACCACAAAAACAAGCTGAATGAATTCAAAATAAGCTGTTTTTGCAGCATAGTTTTGAAGTACTTTACGTACTTTAAGAATGTTTATCATATTTCATAAAGCTTTTATATTAAAAAAAAAAAGTTAGGGAAATTTTCAACGGTATTGGCCCTTTAATGTTTATTTTATTCAGATTGGCTGGAAATGCAACATAAATATCTGCTAGATTTCACAATCTTTACATAAATATTTTTTATTTATTATTATTATTTTTTTAACTGCAGTTGACTTTATTATCATTTCTGCATCCTCTACCCCTTCATCAGTGGTCTGTTTCTGACCACATGACCACTGGATGTTTTTAACTGGGGGAATTATTCTGAACCTCTCGACCTCACCTTTGGGCATCACCTTAGATTTTAATGCCACTACTGGTTAAAAACAAAACTTTTTTTAGATTCTTTTTGATTTATTAAAATACATTTTAAGACTTTAGAAGACTTTAAGGATCTGAAGGAACTCTGACCTTTCTGCACTTCCCTTTCTATCGTCCACCTTCCCATTAAAACCTATTAATTCAGTAAATTCTTACATTTTCAAGATACAGTCACTAATCTTAGCAGAGAGATTTAATGAATGGGCGTAGCTAATGTGCTGAAATAATATATGCAAATGAGCTGGTTCTTGTGACATAACAAAAACAATGCAGACTGACCAGATATCCTTCAGAAGACTAGAAAAAAAGTCTAAAAAAGTTTTATTTTTAATTATTAGAGGCTTTAAAATCTACGATGATGCCCAAAGGCAAGGTCCAAACTGACCGCACTAGTGTCCAGACTGTGCTGCACTATAAAATACCTCCATCCATATGGTACCATTCTACAAACAGGGCCTCTACACTAAGCAGAACTAACAGGGGTTTTCTATCCATACAGAAGAGTGGGAACAGATTCTGTTCCTAAGGTAACATGAAAGCTAATGAGGTTTCGTGTTAAACCAGCACAGCTTTAGTCTTCAGTGCTGGGTATCTGAGTGCGCTGTCTCCACCGCGTAAAGTCTGACAGTGCCTCGAAGGGAAATATTATTATTTATGATGAGCTCTGCTTTAACGTTTCGCTGCTGGACACTGTTCAGAGCAAATAACATTTGAACAGTGAGCTACCTTCCCCTAGGCCAAAGCAGCTTTAAAACACAAAAGGGCATCGTCTCCCTTCCACCTTTCAGTGCAGTTTCAAGGGCTCTCCCGAATGGAAATAAAGGATAGAATATACGTGATTAACCTTGCAAAGCTTTATGAAACAATAACAATGCGTGAGCTTCACTCTTTAAAGCGACAGCTTTATACAGTGCTGTGCAGGTACATTTGCAAATTCACCAAAGTAACAACATCGGTCATTATTAACCAACACCTTTCTGTTTTTTTCATAAATTAGTTCTTGAGAAAGGTCCTAAGAAAAAGTCTACGTCAGATTCATGACGCGTTCGTAAACCGCAGAACTGTTCGCACCTTTGTGCTCTTGAGTGGGTCTAGATTCTGTTCTTACATAAGAACAAATGCCAAATAAGAAAACACTGGTGAATGTTAGAACATTCATGAAAACTGCGTAAGTGGACGAAATTTCGGTAACACTTTCTATGAATGTCATGTTTGTAAGCATCTATAAAAATTCATAACCTGTTATAATGCATACATAAGCCGGGCTATAAATATTTACAAAAATGCATTACACATTATAGCCATGCTTATTATGCATTTTGAATTGTTAACATAATACATTATAAGTACTGATCATAAAAAATTATAAGAGCTCATAAGTCGTATTTGTCCACTCTAAGTAAAGTGAAGCGTACTGTACTAAAGCCTCCTCCAGTGTTAAGAGTGAGGCTTCAAGTTGAAGTATTTACTGAAGGATTTACTGAAACACTAAAACATTCACAGTAAAACACATTACAGGCTTCAAATGTCAGAGTTTAAACTAGAGCTGCCATCAGTGTTTTACCCAATGTGGGAAAGGTAATGTACACCACCGTTAGCTTGGCACTAACTTAACACTGCATATCTAATAAAAGGCTAGCAGAAACTAACATTACTGTAGTGTAGTGTAGTGATGTTACAGAGTGAAGGGTTCTAGCGCTTGACTTTAGAACCAGTGAGGGAACAAATTACATTGACAACACTCTACTATCAAATATAACATGTTATTAACACTACTTATAATGCATTATGTTAACAATTCATAAATGTATAACAAACATGGCTATAAAGTGTAATTCAGTGTAATCCATTTTTAGAAATATTTATAACTATGTTCAAAATGCCTTATGAATGCATTATAACATGTTATGAATGTGTGTATAGATGCTTAAAAATGTGACATTCATAGAAAGTGCTACCGAAATTTCTTCTAAGGAACAGTTGGTGAATGAGGCCCAATGGTCTTGAGGTCAAACTGTACGCTATAAATAAGTTTTAAAGGTACAGTACATTCAGTTTCCAAGGAGAAAGGGGCATACATGCTTTAAAATGGTTTATTATAGAAAAATAAAAAGACTGGAGTCAAGACAAGATGTCTAGAGTTAATGTAACATAATGGAACTTTGGAAAAAAATATAGCTGATAAAAAAATAACTAAATAACCACAAATAACTGACGGTACCAAAGCTGCACCCTCTCAATCAGACCGTGTGTAGTTGATCAGCAAATACATGCCTGAGGTCTGAAGTTGCTTCTTTAGTTTTGCACTGGGGCTACGAGGCTGATGTAGCTAACAAGCAATGGAAGCTTAGCATCGTGTAAACTGCATATCGCACACATTTTCTAAGCCGCTTATCCTCCTGGCTTGCGGTGGTGCTGGAGCCTATCCCAGCGCTCACTGGGTGGAAGGCAGGTAACACCCTGGACAGGTTGCCAGTCCATCACAGGGCAGACACACAAACACCTAGGGCCAATTTAGCATCTCCAATTAGCCAATTGTACATCTCTGGACTGTGGGAGGAAACCAGAGCACCTGTCGCCTAGCATGTAGCCTGATCACACAATGCTACCAAGCTGGGAGAGTGAAGGCTAGCTTCCTCCAAGTCACAGGAAGCAGCATTGGAAACCACAACACGCTTGGAGGAGAACACTAATGGCCAGTTCTGTGACATCAGCTACCACATGTCCTGCACTCAGTGATTTTGGAAGAGGGAGGACCGTCCTACCCACCAAGAGAGAACAAGGTCAGTTACACTCTGTTGGACCCCTGGTTACAGAGGGCTGTGACATCGCTGTGGATCAAACTTGCAGTCTTAGAGACTATGAGACTTACGTGGTTCCTCAATCTGTATGAGATACGCACTAAAATTCACAAAAGCATAAAAAACTTCAGTTAATATTGATTTTTACAGACAGCAGTTTATCATACAGTGTTAGAAACAACAAAATCAAGCTGATTCAAAATTACTTAACAAAACACTGAGTGCGTTTACATGTGCTTAATAATCTGATCATAATCTGATTTCTGCAGTTATCTGATTATTCAAATGGTCATGTAAACAATTTACTCCAATCTAGAAATCTGACTGAGAAATCCGATTAAAAAGAACTGGATTTTAGTTTAGTAAGCAGATTTCTCAGTGCAGGTAAACTCTTACTCTGATTTCTTTCGTTTTTCTCAGTCTGCACATGGGAGAAAACAGACTGGAAATAAGCGAGCAGTGTTGCCACGAGATGCAGCAAAACACTTTTGGAGCAAATGAGGGATTTAAATATTCTTTATCTTCTAGATAGATGTATGTTCATATTTTCAGGTAAAGTGGAGCAAAATTTTTAAAAAAAAAAAAGCCGCAGCATGAAGTTTAAGCTTCACAATACATTTACATCACGTCCTCTGTGAGTTTGTGGCTGGTTGCAGAAAGCAGAAACCTGATTGCTGCCTGACCCATGTAGACCCAGAGTTTAACCATCATCTGATAACTCAACTGCATGTAAATGTGTTGACCGGATTACTGACCAAATCAGATTTTCTGCCGTTATGGAATTTTTAAGTGCATGACACTTCTTAGCTACATTAGCCTTGTAGCTTCACTATAAAATTATTGAACTTCAGACACCAAACATGTCTTGGCTGATCAACTGCATGCGAGATAAGCGGAAAACTGCGCAAATTTGAACGATCTCTTCAAGCCCGACCGAGTGGGCCGCCTCCTTTTTTCCACCCTCTGTAGAATCCTATGATCGATCTTCTCCCTCTATATCACAGTCCTTTCCCTGGAGATGCCATCATCCACAGACTCGTACACGTTTCTGCTCCAGCCGTTATATGTGTGATATAATGGCTGCTACAGAGCTCAATACAATCATTTAGGCAGCAGCCAGAGAGGCTGAACATTCATCACTGCGCTCTCAGTGCAGCGTCTCTGAGCTCATCCAGCACAGCGAGAGGAGGTGATGAATCGGAGGGAGGAGAGGAGGACTCTAATCAGACTCGTCTGTAGACTTCCAACTCTATCCCTCCATTTCACTTCTCTCTCTCTCTCTCTCTCTCTCACACACACACACTGTATCACTCTCCATCTTCTCCCTCACTCCTTCCCTCTGTCTCTTTCTCAACCCTCTCCATTTTTCCTTTCCTCCCTCTCTTACCCCTTCCATCTTTTCCCTCCCTCTCTCTCTCTTTCTGTAACTCTGTCTCTCTCTCAACCCCCTCCAATTTTCCCTTCTTCCCTCTCTTCCTCTAACTTTCTATCTCACCCCTTTTCCTCCCTCTCTCTCCATTTTTCCCTCCCTCTCTCTCACCCCTCCATTCATTTTTCCCTCCCTCTCTCTCACCCCCACTATTACCCCCTCTCTTTCTCTCTCTCCATTTTTCCCTCCCTCTCTCACCCCTCCATTCATTTTTTCCCTCCCTCTCTCTCACTCTCTATCTTCTCCCTCACTCTTTCCCTCTCTCTCACCCCTTTCACCTTTTCCCTCTCTCTTCCTCTAACTCTCTCTCTCACCCCTTTCATCTTTTCCTCTCTCTCACCCCCTCTATTTCTGCCTCTCTCTCTCTTTCTCTCTCTCTATCTTCTCCCTCACTCTTTCCCTCTCTCTCACCCCTTTCACCTTTTCCCTCCCTCTTCCTCTAACTTTCTTTCACCTTCCATGTTTTCCTCTCTCACTCATTTCTATCTTTCTCTCTCCATGTACCTTTTCTATCTCTCTCCTCAGCTTTTTGTCCACTTCTCTCTCTCTCTCTCTCTACACACTCACTTTCTCCCTCTCCCTCGCCATCTCTCCCCATCTTTTCTTTTCCGCTCCCTCTCTCTCTCTGTGTCTCCTTCTCTCCCTCCTTACCTCACCACTCTCTCTCTCTCTCTCCTGCCATCTCCCCTTCTCCATCTCTCTCTCGGGTTGCTGTGCACAGCCCCAGTCGTCCACTTATTTGTAGTGGTGTCCAGTGTCTCATTCAGACTCAGCCCCACTGGACAGAGGGTGCGCTGGACACGTGTGTATGAGGGGAAAAAAGGCAAGACTCTCACTCTCAGCTTTACACTGTACACAGCCATGAAGATACACGCGGTCCGCTACTGCAGTATTATTTAACAACAGTACCGACACACAGAGAGAGAGAGAGAGAGAAGGTGTGAAAGAGAGAAGAAAGAAAGGTGAGGAATAAGAAAGAGTGAAAGAGAGAGAGGAGAAAGGGAAGGAGAGAGATCAGGAGAGAGAAGAGTACGAAGAGATACAGAGAGAAAAGGTGTGAAAGAGAAGAAAGGTGAGTGATAAGAAAGAGAGAGGGAGAAAGAGAGAAAGGGACAGAGAGAGAGGAGAGAAAGGGAAGGAGAGAGACAGGGAGAGAGAAGAGATGCAGAGAAAGGGTGTGAAAGAGAGAAGAAAGAAAGGTGAATAATGAGAAAGAGAGAGGGGAAGAGAGAAAGGGACAGAGAGAGATAAGGAGAGAGAGGAGTAAGAAGAGATACTGAGAGAAAAGGTGTGAAAGAGAGAAGAAAGTAAGAAAGGAGGAGAGGAATAAGAAAAAGTGAGAAATAGAGAGATGAGAAGACAGACAGGTTTTAATGGAATGCAGGCCGACAGGAGACGCGTGAGGAGCGGACGAGTCTGAACAAACGCGCTCAGTCTGACTATACACAGAGAAAACACTTCATTAGGAATTTCTCAAAACTCAATGAAAAGACAGAGAGAGAGAGAGAGAGAGAGAGAGATAGAGAGAGAGAGAGAGAGAGAGAGAGATAATAAACACATCCTCTTTCTTTGTCATCTCCTGACACTACAGAACACTAACGATGTCGTCTCTGAACAATCCATCAAACGACAGAGGAGGAAACGTGAGCGCACGTCCGGCACAGACAGACGTTTAATTTAAACACCGTGATGTCACTGTGAGAACAGATACAGCACTGAGAGCTGATCACAAACCAACAAACAAACAAACAAACAAACAAACAAACCAACAAACCAGACAACAGAGACATTATTCACTATGTGAAGAGGGGGAGAGTGATAAAAAAAAAGAAAATATAGACAGAGAGGAAGAGAGAAAGAAAAGGGATATAAAAAATAAGAGAGAAAGAGGAAGAAGATATAAAGAGAGAAAATAAGAGAGTATGAAGATAAAAGAAGAGAGAGAGAGAGAGAGTGTGGGAGAGAGAGATGAGAGAAATAAGAGGAGCACATATGAATAGAGAAAAGGACAGAGAGAGACAGATGCAGAGAGAGAAAGAGAGAGAGATATAAATGAGAAGAGGAAGAAAAGAAAGATAATCAGAGAAAAAGAGTGAAGGAGAGAAAAACAACAGACATGAGGAGAGAGAGACAAAAAGAAGTAAAGAGAGAAGGAAAGGTGTACAAAGTGAAGAACTGTGAAGTACAAGGTAAATGAGGAAAGAAGAGAGAGAAGAGATGAGAAAGATCAATAGAGGAGAGAGAGGGGGAGACAGAGAGAAGAGAAGAGAAGAGAAGAGAAACAGAAAAGATTAAGAGAAGAGAACAAAGAGAAAGAGAACAGATTAAGAGAAGCATAGAAACAAGAGAAGAAAAGAGAAAAAGAGTACATGAGAAACAAAAGATGAGAAGAGAGGAAAAACAGATTAGGCAAGAAACGTGAGGAGAGGACCAGAAATGGAAGAAGAGAAGAGAAGAGAAGAGAAGAGAAGAGAAGAGACAAGATGAGAAGAGAAGAAAAGAGAAGAGAAGAGACAGAACAGAAGAGAACAGAACAGAACGGAATGGAAGAGAACAGAACAGAAAAGAAGAAAGCAGAAGAGAGGAGAAGAGAAGAAAGTAGAAGAAAAGAGAGGAGAAGAGAAGAAAGTAGAAAAGAAGAGAAGAAAGTAGAAGAGAAGAGCAGAGCAGAGAAGAGCAGAGAAGAGCAGAGCAGAGCAGAGCAGAGAAGAGCAGAGAAGAGAAGAGCAGAGAAGAGCAGAGCAGAGCAGAGCAGAGCAGAGCAGAGAAGAGAAGAGCAGAGAAGAGAAGAGAAGAAAGTAGAAGCAAAGAGTGTTAGTCCCCCTTCATCCTTTTTATTATTGATCAGGACCACCACAGGACCACCACAGGACCACCACAGAGTAGGTAGATCATTCTCAGCACTGCAGTAACACTGACGCGGTGGTGGCGTGTTAGAGTGTGTTGTGCTGGTGCGAGTGAATTAGACACAGCAGTGCTTCAGGAGTTTTTAAACACTGTGTCCACTCACTGTCCACTCTATTAGACACTCCTACCTTGTTGGTCCACCTTATACATGTAAAGTCAGAGACGATGGCTCATCTGCTGCTGCACAGTTTGTGTTGGTCCTTCTCTAGTCCTTCATCAGTGGTCACAGGACGCTGTTGGCTGGATATTTTTGGTTGGTGGACTATTCTCAGTCCAGCAGTGACACTCAGACTGCATGGCTATGTGCTTGATTTTATTCACCTCTTAGCAAAGGGTGTGTCTGAAACACGTGAACTGAACAATTAGGAGAGGCGTCCACATACTTTTGGCCACATAGTGCAGCTAACTGGTGAGAAAATTTGATTGAAAAAAATAAAAAAGGATATTGAGTAAGTCTTAATCGATTGAGCGGAGTCTCTGGACGTCCTGCTGATCTGGACAGTGAGAAAAGAGTGGAGCTACAGCTTTACTCTCACCAGAGCTGTTACACAACCTCTCAGCGAGCTTCTTCTCTCACACTTACAGTTCGACTTTTTATGCACAAACTCAGTGATGAGTATATACCGTGACTTTCCCACAAACCCAGAGGAGCTCCTGAGAGACAGCTGCGGCGGTGTGGAAGCGTCTCACCTTGTCCTTGGGGAGTCTCTCCGAGTGGATTGACTTCCACTTGAGTGGCGTCGACTTTCAGGAACAGATCATAGAGCTTCTTAATCTGATCTGCAGCCTGGGACACATCCACAGAGAGAGGAGTAATTACCCCACAGCAATCAAACTCACCAGCCTGTCAGCGTCCATCATCACAACCACACACACACACACACACACACACACACACTCCCACCATCACCATTACCTTCTCATCACGCACACAGGCACCCTCACACGCATACAGAAACAGCAGCACTGTGAGGGCTGAACAATTACGGCATTTTTAGAGGGAGAAATCAGTTTCCAGCCTTAACTGACCGTCAGTACAGTTTAAGGTGAGCCACTGCACTGTTCAGTAAAGGTGAAATAACCAGCAGCCTTTTTAAACACCTGTAAACCACGAAGGACAGAGTTATGAAGCACAATAAAAGGATTGTCTAAGGTTAAGAATAAACACTGTATCATTTATTAACTTTGAAGGGTTTATAAAGTTTTAAACTACTGCTGCTACTACTACTATTACTATCACTACTAGAATTATTATTATTATTATTATTATTGTGCTTTTTCTACTGTATTATTAAATAAAAGTAGAACAGTAGTATAGTTATTATATAGTTATGTAATACAATATTATACACACAGCTGCTTTGTGAAGCGTTCTTTAGTAAAGAAAATGGTTCCATATAGAACCATGAACACTCGAAGAACCCTTTGCATGATTAAACTGTTCTTTGCATTGTGAAAGCGTTCTTCAGACTGATGAAGAATGCATTATATATGGTTCTACTTGGAACCTTTTTGAAAAGGGTTCTATGTAGCACCGAAAAAAGGTTCTTCTACTGTTACGGTGTCAAGGCTGTAACAGAAGAATCCTTTTAGTGCTATATGGAAGCTTTTGAAAAGAACCATATACAAGACCTTCTCTATTAATCTGAAGAACTCTTCACAAGGCAAAGAACCCTTTAATCATGCAAAGGGTTCTTTAAGTGTTCATGGTTCTATATGGAACCATTCTCTTTACTAAGGTACCCTTGAAAAACCATCTGTATACCAATGTACATATATTATTGTATTATATAACTATGCAATAACTATACCACTTAATAATACAACATAAAAAGCACTATAATAATAATAATAATAATAATAATAATAATAATAATAATAATAAGAAGAAGAAGAAGAAGAAGAAGGAGAAGAAGAAGGAAATATTAACAATACAATATTGATAATGAATAAATACAATAATTCATCATAAAAATTACTACTTTATTACCATATATTTAATTATATAGCATAATAATAGAAATATATTTTTAAATATATTTTAAAACTTACAATAATCTGATACTTTTGTATTAAAACATATTATTGTAGTAGTGTTGTAGTATTATTGCATATTACATAATAGAACCATATACAAAATGTGATATAACAACTATATAATAGTGTTAATAACTATAAAACAATAATAATAAAATGAATCAATTTTAATAATACTTTTAGGACAATCAATAAACCTAATATTCTAATCGAATCAAAACAGAAATGTGGTTAAACAGCATTTAAAGATCTTAGTGTTTTTCCACCAGGCAGTATAACACAGCATGGCGCCTTTACAAAGCTGAACCTGGAACTCTTCACAGCCAGCGTCCACTTTTTGTTGTGTAACAGAAGCATGAAAGAAGACGGACTTCTCTGAAGGTTGTGTGATGGTCACAGGATTTCTCATATGAGGCTTATTGTTATTATTATAATGATGATGATGATGATGAAGATGAAGACAGCGTTAGTGTCTACTGTTAACAGTAAACCCAATAAATCAGTATCAACAGTGCAGACGTTTCTGATTTACCTTTTACTCTGCTTTTGGTTTCACGTGAGAGTCAGTGATTCAGCCTGGTTCACTAGAGCTTTTAAGAAATGGCCGTCGTTTGACTGGACTCGATCTGTAAGCGTGCTGCCCTGCACTGCCCAGTGGAAAAGCACCAATTACACATTTTACGGCAGACACAGGTCCAAGATGAGCACTGTAGTGTAGAGACCATGAAGAAGTGACTGAGCTCCATCAGAGTGAAGCTTGCTTGGAGAAGAGTTTGAGTGGGAGAGGATGGTGGACCGGTCACTGTAATACAGCGTGTTCTCGAGAGGTCATCCTAACAAATCCCATTATCTAAAGCCTTGTGGAGATAAAATGACATTTCTCAGTGTTCCTGCAGTTAAGAACGCAGGGTGACTAAACACGGCAGTGCAGCTCACACTCACTCACACACACACTCACACACACACAAACACACACACACTCACTCACACACTCACTCACACACACACACACACACACACACACACACACACACACACACTCACTCACTCACACACAAACATACACACACACTGACTCACACACAAACACACTCTCTCACACACATACACACACACACACAGACACACACTCACACACTCACTGACTCACACACAAACACATTCACACACACACACACACACACACTCACACACACACACACACACACACACACACACACACTTACACACACACACACAGACACACACACAAACACACTCACACACACACAAACACAGACACACACAGACACACACACACACACAGACACACACACACACACACACACAAACACACTCACACACTCACACACACACACTCACAAACACACTCACACACACACACTCACAAACACACTCACACACTCACACACAAACACATTCACACACACTCACACACACACACACATACTCACACACAAACACATTCACACACTCACACACACACACACTCACACGCACACACACACTCACACACACACTCACACACAAACACATTCACACACACTCACACACACACACAAACACATTCACACACACTCACACACACAAACACACTCACACACTCACACTCACACACAAACACATTCACACACACTCACACACACTCACACACACACTCACACACACACTCACACACAAACACATTCACACACACTCACACACACACACTCACACACACTCACACACACACACACACTCTCACACACACTCTCACACACACACTCTCACACACACTCACACACACACTCACACTGCCCTCGTTTAGTCATCTTACAGCACTTCAAAGTTATTGAAGTTATTTAAACCATATTCCGCCTCCAAAAGCATCCTAATTACAGCTGAGCTGAATAGACGTTTGCAAATGAGCTTTATTAAAAGGACGACTTTAGCAGAAACAAAATGACAAGCCGCACACTTGATTAATAATTTCTCTCTCCTCGGGCTGCTGAAATCGATGCCTGATCGCACAGCCGTACAGACACACGCTGAGCATCCAGAGCTAAAGCCTCGTGTTCACATCCCTTAAAAAACGCCTTCATTAAGTCAATTTATACATTTCCTGTATTTCAGCATTCAAATGAGTCTGAGTCCGGCACGCTAGTCTGAATTAGCCTTAATACAATGCCACTCGACAATGAACCAAGAATGAAGAGAAGGAAAAGGAGGAAGGAGGGGGAGGAGGAGGAGGAGGAGGGGAATGAGACAGGAAAAAAAGAAGACGACAGAAGAAAAAAAAAAAATGAAGAGAAGAGGAAAAATTAAGGCAAAGCAGCAACAGAAGAAGAAGAAGAATAAGAACAAGAACAAGAAGAGCAAGAAGAAGAAGAAGAAGAACAAGAACATCAATGAAAGACAAAGAAGAACAAGAATGAAGGACAAAGAAGAAGAAGATCATCGATGAAGGACAAAGAAGAAGAAGAAGCAGAAGAAGAAAAAGAAGAAGCAGAAGAAGAAGAAGAAAAACAACAACAAAAAGATCAATGAAAGACAAAGAAGATGATGAGGAAGAACAAGAAAAAGAAGCAGAAGAAGAACAACAATAACAACAAGAAGAGCAAAAAGAAAAAGAAGAAAAAGAAAAAGAAGAAGAATAAGAACAACAACAACAAGAGCAAGAAGAAAAAGAAGAAGAAGAAGAAGAAGAAGAAGAAAACAAAGAACAAGAACAACAAGAAGAATAAGATCAATGAAAGACAAAGAAGAAAGATGAAAAAGAAAGCTAAGAGGAAGATGAAAACACCGAGGACAAAGATGAAAAGAGGAGATGAAGGAGATGAAGATAACAAAGAAGCGCATTTAATGCAGAAAGGTTCAACAGAAAAGAGCCCAGAAGTGCTTGGATTAAAATCTCATTATATTATTGTATATTAAAAATTAGATCCTTTCTTTCTTTCTCTTCTAAAGTTATGAAGGTGGGGGTTTTGTTACGACTATGACATACTGACCAAATCATCTCCTGACCTAGACGCCTGCCAAAACTGGAATAAGCCACACCTCTAAATGTTTTCGTGGCTAAAGGTGACATAACATTAAAAACACACAGCATTTAGTCAATGGGATCAGCAGAACAACCGGATCTGTGGAACGTGAGTGGAGAGCAGGGAGTCTGTCTCCAGTGAGTCCATCTATTCTTAAGAACAGTGAGCTTTTCCGTATTTGGTGTCAAGAGTGGGACTATGTGCTGCTTCAAGTTCTGGCCATTACCTGCCTCTCCAGTGGCCCTTTGAAGCCCAAATTAGCCGCCATACGCAGCGCTTGGTCATCTCGAACACCTTCGAAAATATCGATGGCCTCCTGTGGAGAGAGAGAGAGAGAGAGAGAGAGAGAGAGAGAGAAAGAACCACCATCAGCGCTAATTTGACACAAAGTGGATGTTCGTATTAAAATGGCGAGATTGCAATTATGCAGTGGCAAGCTGCCAACCAGAGAGAGAGCGAGAGAGCGAGAGAGCGAGAGCGAGAGCGAGAGAGAGAGAGAGAGAGAGCGAGAGCGAGAGAGAGAGAGAGAGAGAGAGAGAGAGAGAGAGAGAGGGGAGGCCAAGGGTCTCATACAATAGCTTTCTAATTACAGAGTGGCTCTCTGACTGAGCACCTTTGGATTGGAACTGCAAACATTTGACACGACAGACATTATGCACGTCAGAGGTGACCACAAAGAACATTCCTGGTCTAGTGCTGAACCTCATTCAGATCAGGTGCTTACATATAATATGTAATCCAAAATGTATTGTTATTTTCAGTAATGTGCGAATGTCAGAGACCACCTTTAACTATTTAAATTGGAGTCAAACACTGAAACAATGGAAGCTACACATCACACCCAGAGGAGCTTTTATGACATCCCATTCTAAATCCATAGGCATTAATATGGAGTTGGTCCCCTTTTTTGCAGCTTCCACTCTTCTGAGAAGCTTGACCATTCATCCAGAAGAGCGTTTGTGAGGTCAGACACTGATGTTTGACAAAAGGGCCTGGCTTGACGTTTTCGTTCTAGCTCTTCCCAACGGTGTTCAGTGGGGTTGAGGTCAGCACTCTGAGCAGGCCAGTCAAGTTCTTCCACATCAAACTCACCCAGTCAGGCCTTTATAGACTTTGCTTTGTGCACTGGGGCTCAGTCATGCTGGAACAGGAAAGGGTCTTCCCCAAACTGTTCCCATAAAGTTGGAAGCATAGAACTGCCCAAAATGTCTTCTGGATTTCCCTTCACTGGAACTAAGAGCTCTAGGCCAACCCCTGAAAAACAACCCCATAGCATCATCCCTCCTCCACCAAACTTTACAGCTGGGACAATGCAGTCGGGCAGGTAACGTTCTCCTGGCTTTCACCGAACCCAGACTCGTCCATCAGACTGACAGATAGAGAAACATGATTAGTCACTTCACCAAATATGTTTCCACTGCTCCAGAGCCCAGTGGCGGTGTGATTTACACCACTCCATCCGCTTGGTGATGTAAGGCTTGCATGCAGCTGCTCGGCCACAGAATCCCATGCCATTTGGTGACTTTTATGCTCTACGCTCCTCAGCACTCAGTGACCTGCTCTGTAACCTTTACACTTCGTGTCTGGGTTGCTGTGGTTCCTAATTGCTTCCACTTTTCAATAATACCACTCATGTTTAATCCTACATGGTTACAGCACCATGCTGGAATTCAGTGAGCTCTTTAGAACGACCCACTCTTTCACAGATGTGTGTAAAGGCAGACTGCATGGCTAGGTGCTTAATTCTATACACATGTGGCAATGGGACTGAATGAAACGCCTGAATTCAGTGATTGAGGTGTGTATATGTATACGAATGTGTATACATGCGCACAAGCAGACAGGCATGTACCTTAAAGATGAGCTCTGGTGTTCTGGCCGCCACTTCCTCAATGTCCATTCCCCCCTGTGGACTGCCCACCATGACAGGCCCGTTACATGCGCGGTCCATTAGGATTGCAAAGTACGTCTCCCTGTTGATGTCCAGAGCTTCGGCCACCATCACCTGCAACACAGACACACAAATACAAAGACAAAACACACAAACAGAGGAAAGTCGAGTTCATTGGTGCACATGAATCAATACCCAAGCTAGAAATCACATCACATTCAAAAGACTACAGCTCCTCTAAATGCCAGAGTGGACAGATTACAACATAAACATGTACACAGATCAATAAAACTCTGTTCATATTTACAGTTCACAATAAGACATATTGTGCTTTTGGAGGTTTTGGGGATGTATTTACAGGAAAGATTTGGGTGACTATTGACTTCTAGTGTTGGTTAGTAATGTTAGCCTAGAAGCTGCAAACATTCAGACAAAATTTAGACACCGAACATGTCTCGGCCGATTCACTACATCTGGGATAAGAGGAATCTTGTGCCAACTTTTGACATCAGCCTTCCTCTTTACACTGGATCAGGTCTATTAACCCACAGCTACCTCAGACTAGTGGCAGCTATGATAGCAGAACAAGTCACCCAGCAGGAAAAAGACAAAGTGAAGAGATAGCAAACACAGCTAGAGGTAAAAGGTATGGACTACAACAGGGGGAAGGAGAGAAAAAGAAAAAGAAAAAGAGAGAGAGAGAGGAGTGTGTCTGTATTGCAATCTGAATACAGCCATATTAGCGGATAAGCTCCTGGCGAGGTGACAGCTAGCTGTGCTTTCCTGTTCGCAGAAACGCAGAATGACAATGCAATTACAGCCTCTTAACGGCACTCGAATTCAAGCCTCCACCATGTTCAACTCCTGCTACGCTCACTCCATTCATTAAAAGTGATCCGCTGCCTCCGTCCTCCGACGCGGAAAAGAATTCCGAGAATTCCGCCACAGCACACATTTCTCTTTTCTTTCCCTTAAGAACGAAAGAAAATAGACAGTGTCGAATTCGTGAGCAGACTCATTATTCCCAAACACATGCGAGCTGGGGGTGGGAAAGTCTTTGAATAGCAAATGTGAAGGACCCTCAAAAGACGAATCTGAAATGAGTGGTGGAAAGAGCTGGGACTCAAACACGAGTTTGGAGGAAAACACAAGGCTGGCGTTCTCCGAAAGACTTCCGCACTCACGCCTGAGGAGGTTTTTCTCCTTTTTTTTCGCCTTTTCACTAACTCTCTCAGCCTTTCTGGAACTTTCAATCCCTATCTGTCTCTCTCATCTCTCTTTCTTTCTCCTTCCTTCTGTCTCCATCTCTCTCTGTCCCTCTCCCAGGACTGTTTTAATCTCCATGCGTTTCTACCAGTGCTAATAGTTAGATGTGTTAATTACAGCTTTTTGGGTCCAACTTTATGCAAAGTGTCTCTAATAACTGTGTAATTACAAATTAACAATGCATGTAACTACAGTGTAACTACTGGTGCTGTGTTGACTGTTACAGACAAATTGCAGGGGCCATATTACAGAAACATCTAAGGTCTGAAACCTTATCTTACCTGCTTAGTCACCATGACAACTTCAGTTAGAACTGGATTTAGCACAGAAGCTAGTGTGCACTAGCAAAAACGGTTGAAAAGATGGTTCTTCAAGGGTTCTTTAGTAAAGAAAATGGTTCCATATAGGACCATGAACACTCAAAGAACCCTTTGTATGAATGAGGGTTCTTTGCATCAAGAAAGGGTTCTTCGGATTGATGGAAAATATGCATGACTGTCCTATAGACGGTTCTATACAGAATCTTTTCGAAAATGGTTCTCTATAGCACCCAAAAGGGTTCTTCTATTATTAAAAGCGTGACACCATAAGAACAGAAGAACCCTTCTGGGTGCTATATAGAACCATTTTACTAAAGAAGCCTTGAAGAACCATCTTTTTTAAGAATGTACCAAAAAAGGGTTCCTTAGCTTGTTAGAATAGTAGAACACCTTTTGATGCTGTACAAAACCATTTTCAAAAAGGTTCTATAACGAACATTCTACATGAATCTGAAGAACGCTTTCACAACACAAAAAACCCTTTAATCACGCAAAGTGTTCTTTGAGTTCATGGTTCAGAACCATTTTCTTTACTAAAGAACCCTTGGAGAACCTCTTTTCAAGAGTGTACAGTCTTAGCAAAATGGGTTCTACATAATACTGGCTTTAAAAAGATGGTTCTTTAATTGTTCCTTTGTAAAGAACATGGTTCTATATAGACTCAAAGAACCTTTTGCATGATTAAAGGGTTCTTTGCATCATGAAAGAGTTCTTCAGATTGATGGAGAATGTGCGGTAGATATTTCTATACAGACTGCTTTGAAAAGGGTTCAATATGGCACCCAAAAGGGGTTCTTCTACTCTTATAAGCTTGACATCGTAACAATAGAAGAACCTTTTAGGTGCTACATAGAACCGTTTTTAGAAAGGTTCTATACAGGAACATCTACATCACATTCTCCATCAATCTGAAGAACCTTTCACAATGCAAAGAACTCTTTAATGATGCAAAGGGTTCTTTGGGTGTTCATGGATCTATATAGAACCAGTTTTTTTTACTAAAGAACTCTTGGAGAACCATTATTAAGAGTGTACAGAGAAATGCATGGATCATTTGACTCTTTTCTTAAATAACAGGCAGGGCAGAGGGGGAGTGGACAGGAAGTGAGGCCCACTGTAACAGCAAGTTAGAGGCAACGTTATACACACAGCAAGGAAATGAGGACTACTTAGCAGCTAAGGGGATCATTACCTGTGTGTGTGTGTCTGTGTGTGTGTGTGTGTGTTTCCTTTTCTGTGCTGCTGAGAGGAACAGATAGAAAAAGAAAAAGAAAGAAGAGTCAAAGAAAATGGGAATATGATGCGCAGGCTTGTTAGTGACAGGGAGAGTTGTGCATCTGCTGATATTGGCTGTTACTAGAAACACATGTTTTATGTATTGCACTGAACCCTGGCACCACACACTCCCCACAGAACACTGTTTTCCTCTATTTCAGAAGGAGGACAACAAACGGTGCTGGATCACAACGAGCGAGTCTCATTTACTGAAGAGAGCATCGTTCAGAAGAGAGAGTGAGCGTCATTAATGCAGCAGAGCGGCAGATGATCAGCAGCCTGAAGCTCAGTAAAAGGATGAAGGTGACGGAGGTGAAATGTAGAGGTTTCTTCTGAGGGAAAAACTCACCGTTTTCACTTTCACTCCGTCTTTAGGCGTCTGCTTGGTGGTCAGGTTGTAGCCGAGCATCTTACCGGCCAACTCGCCCACCGCTGCAGGACTGCAACACAACACAAACGGGTCATTAATGTGAGGAAGAACGCCTTCTAATACAGCCTCTTAATACAGACGTCTGGAATCTGTTCTCAAACATATAAAAGCAACTTTGTTGGGAATAAAATATGTTATAAATATTATTCTAATGTGATGCTTCACATTTCAAAACTGCAATATTTTTTTCTTTCTTATTTATTTCTTATTTAATATCTTAACGTTCCCAAAAAAGCTGAATTGATATTAAACAAAATATTTAAAAGGATGTTTCAGTGTCTTGGTTAAAATATTTTAATGTACTGTGATTCTAGATTAGATTAGATTAGGACAGTGATTAATATAATAAGTGGTTCTAAACTTTTGAATGCTACCATTAAATAATATTAATAATAATAATAATAATAATAATAATAATAGAAAAAGAAGAATGAGAGAATTAAAGAGAAAGAGAGAGAGAGAAAGAGAGAGAGAGAGAGAAATCAGATAAAGAGAGTGATATAGAGACTGAGATAAAAAAGAAGAAAGAGAGAATAAGGGAGAGGGACAGAGAGGAAATAAGAAAGAAAAAGGGAATGAGAGAGAGAGACAGACACAGAGAGAATGAGAGAGAATGAGAGAGAGAGAGAATGAGAGTAGTAAGGGAAGAATGGGTGACTGATGTACTCACTCTGTGGTTAAGTGCACTCCTCCTTTAAGGCCACTGTCAAATACTCCTTTACCCCGACCCCCTGCCAGAATCTGAGCCTTCAGCACGATCTCCTTAGCATCTGAGAGAGAGAGAGAGAGAGAGAGACAGAGAGAGAGAGAGAGACAGAGAGACAGACAGTCATATATCACTCCACCAAACTGTCCAGAGACCTCTCCTCAGCAGTGGGTCAAACAAAGTTTATTACAGCGAATAAAATACAGCTGCACATCCCATTCACTCAGCACATAATGCATATTTCACCCATTAATAGTCTGAACCATTCACTGAATCACAGAAAGAGAGAAGAAAATGAAAAGCAAAGAAAGAAAAAAGAAAAAAAAAATGGATGTATGGATGGATGGATGGATGGATGGATGAGCACATGGTCTGGAACACAGACACTGAACAGTAACTTTATCTTCCCAAAGAGAATCACAGCACAGAGCTCTAACGAGAGAGAGGAGCAGAGCAGAACTCTGCCAAACAACTGTGTCAAACATACAGTATGCTAATAACTATATACAGGTTAGACAGTAAAAACTATATGTAATACTACTACTACTACTACTACTATTACTACTACTACTACTAATAATAATAATAATAATAACAAACCTATTTCCAAAAAAGTTGGGATGCTGTGCAAATAGTAAATAAAAACAGGAAAAAAAAAACATTTAAACCCCATATTTCACTGAAAACGAGAATATATCACATCTTGAAACTAAGAAATTATATTGCTTTTTGGAAAAAAAAAGCTTATTTTGAATTTGATACTACCAAAAAATGTCATTAAACATCCATGATTTTCTAAAAGAATTTAAAATTTTGATTCATCAGACCACAGGACACTTTCCACTTCACCTCAATCCATCTTAAATGAGCTCGGGCCCAGAGAAGGCAGCAGCGTTTCTGAATCCTGTTTATATATAGTTTCTTCTTTGAACTGTAGAGTTTTAATTAGTATTTGTGGACGCAGTGATGAATTGTGTTCACAGACAATGGATTTCAGAAGTGTTTCTGAGCCCATGTGATTTCCACTGCAGAATCAAGTCTGTTTTTCATGCAGTGCTGCCTGAAAGCCTGAAGATCACGGCCGGCTGGTACTGGTTTTTGGCTTTGTCCCTTACATACAGAGATTTCTCCAGATTCTCTGAAGCTTTTCATGATATTATGACCCATAGATGATGAAAAGCAAAAGTTCTTTGCTATTTTACGGTGAGAATCATTATTTGCCTGTAAGGTCTTTCACAGAGTGGTGAACCCTTCCCCATCTTTACTTCTGAAAGACTCAGCCTCTCTGAGATGTTCCATCAGATGTTTGTTTTTTAGCATTACACAACTTTACCGTTTGTTGCCCCATCATTTGATATGTTGTCTTTGTACGATTTTTGATGAAATATAGGGTTTATATTATTTGCGCATCATTGCATTTCGTTTTTAATTTACATTTTGCACAGTGTCCCAACTTTTTTGGAAATTGGACTATAATAATAATAATAATAATAGTAATAATAATAATAATAATAAATAATAATATATGCAATAAGAAAAAGATTAAGCTACTAAATTTTATTTTTTTATTTAACCATATCGTGTATTCATCATCCTCATAATAATAGTCTCTTTGGCAATTTAACATTAGTTATAATTATATCAAAATAACTGAATTGATTCACTGTAAACTCTGAGACTGAATGATGAACTGAATCACTTTCTAAAGTATATGAATCAAACTGAATCACTGTGGGATCTGATCAAATATGCGCTGAATCACTTACTAGAATCAAGAATCATAAATGATTCTGAGGTCAGAGATCTACAGATTCACAGGGGTCAGAGGGTTTTTAAAGGTCTAAGAAAGCTATTTTTTATTGAGCAAATGCAAAGCCAGGCTTCAGGCTCTAAAGAGGGCAGAGGCATCAGCATTCGGCTCGTGCTCACGCTCAGTGTCAGGCCAAAGTCTGGGGAAGCTAATGATCCCTCCAGCCACATACAACCACACCCCTTTCAGACTGGCATCTCTCTAAAGCCCACTCCAGGAAGCCCACTGCAGCAGCTTCCACAGACAGCCTGAGTGAAGGGCGAGTGGGAACATGAGGCAACGGGGGGCTCCATCACCTCATCTGGGAGCGATACAAACGTGGAAAACACTGCTTTGGCTTTGTCTGGATCAGAGATCTGCTGCACCGCCGAGAGAGAAAAGAACATCGAGGCCCCTCACTGCATCACCCCATCACACACCCCCCGAAAACACTCAGCACGATCGAACAGACACTCCTAACAGAGACCAGCCAGATAGAGCTGAGAGAGAGAGAGAGAGAGAGAGAGAGAGAGAGAGAGAGAGAGAGAGAGAGAGAGAGAGAGACTGAGAGGGAGAGAGAGAGAGAGAGAGAGAGAGAGAGAGAGAGAGAAAGAGAGAGAAGAGAGAGAAGAAAGAAATAAAGAAATAAAAAAGAAATAAAGAAATAAAGAAAGAAAGAAAGAAAGAAAGAAAGAAAGATGGAAGGGGAAAAGAAAAAGAAAAGAAAGGGACACAATGAAAGAAAGAAAGAAAAAGAAAGAAAGAAAGAAAGATGGATGGGTGAGGGAAGGAAGGAAAGAAGGACGGAAGGAAAGAAGGAAAGAAGGAAGGAAGGGAAGTAGGAGGAAGAAAGGAATAAAGCAAGGGGAGTAGGAGAAAGAAAGAAAAAGAAAGAAAGATGGATGGGTGAGGGAAGGAAGGAAAGAAGGACGGAAGGAAAGAAGGAAAGAAGGAAGGAAGGAAAGTAGGAGGAAGAAAGGAATAAAGCAAGGGGAGAAGGAGAAAGAAAGAAAGAAAGAAAGAAAGAAAGAAAGAAATGATGGGTGAGGAAAGGAAGGACATAGGAGGAAGAAAAATGAAGGATAGGAAGTAGAAAGAAAGAAAGAAAGAAAGAAAAAAATGATGGGTGAGGGAAGGAAGGAAGTAGGAGGAAGAAAGGAATGCAGGATAGGAAGTAGGAAAAAGAAAGACAGAAAGATAAAGAAAAAGAAAGAAAGAACGAAAGAAAGAAAGAAAGAAAGGGGAAACGGAAGGAAAAGAAAAGAAATAAAGAGAAAAAGAAGAGCAGTTGAAAGAGACATAGAGAAACAAAGAAGAAAGGAATGGAGGAATAAAGGAAGGAAGGAATGCAAAACGAAGAGCAGACAGAAGAGAGAAGAGAATGAAAAAGGAGAGACAGACAGATAAAGAGTCCAGTCGTCTTGGCGTCATCGTCAGTGTTGCCATAGCGACGTGGTTTGAACCCTGAGCTGAGGGAGACGGTGCTGAGGGGCAGAGGTGGCTCAGGGTTTGTCGTCTATTACAGACTCTATTCAGAGGCCACCTGTTTACGGCTGATTAAAACGGCCGAGAGACGCAGCTCAGCTCCTGAAAATCAGCTCAGATCCAGCCCAGCTCTCACTCACGTCTGCATCAGGAGCACTACAGCAGATCTCCACACGGCCTCCAGCGCATCCTCGCCAGAGAGAATTGATGGAAAAACATGGCAGAGGGTCCAGGAGCCCACTGAGAGGTCAGGAAAAAAAGAAAAAAAACTTCTTCTTCCTCTAGAAAAGAGTCATTAGCATTCTGTACCGTTCACTAACTCCTCTCTTCCTTTCTCCTCTCTCCTCCCCTCCTCTGGCTTTCTTAAGGACACAAAAGAGAAATTAACATGTTCCTACATCTCCACTCGCATCATAAGTAATTGGGGTAACACAGAAATCCCCGGGCAAGCAATTTCCAATTAATGAGCTCAAATTAATTTGAAGCTTATTTACTGATGGAGGCAGAGCGCTCGGCTGAGCTCACTTCCGCCCCACTGTCTCCTCTCTCTGCTGCTGCTGTCCCCACACGGCCCTGCAGGGACCACCACTAACATCTAATACAGCCACGGGGGCGGGAGTTAGATAGAAAGAGAGAAGAATGAAGAGAAAGAGAAGTGAAAAAAGAAAACTAAGAAAGAGAGCAAGAAAGAAAGGAAGAGAAAGAAAAAAAAAGAAAGAAAAATCTGAGAAAATGAGAGAAACGGATTAGAAAAAGAGAAGGGAAAGAGAGGAAGAGGAAATAACGGGAGAGGGAGAGGGAGAGAGAGAGAGAGAGAGAGAGAGAGAGAGAGAGGGGGAGAAAAATGAAGTGAGAGGGAAGACAGTGAGAAAGAAGAAGAGAAAGAAACGAGAGACAAAGAGAGAGAAAAATGTAGAGAAAAATAAGAGACAAAACTAACAAAGAGAGCCAGAAAGAGGGGGAGAGGAAGAGCAAGAAATGGATAAAAAGAAATCTGAGCAAGAGAAAATGAGAGAGAGAGAGAGAGAGAGAGGGAGAGAGAAGAAAAAGAGAAAAGGGAATATAAATAATGGAAGAGAGGGAGAAAGAGAACAAAAAATAAAAAGAGAAAACTAAGAAAGAGAGAAAGAAGGGGAGAGGGAGAGAAAGAAATGGATAAAGAGAAAACAGAGAAAGAGAAAATGGGGAAAAGGGGAAATAATCAGAGAGAGAACAAAAAATAAAAAGACAAAACTAAGAGAGAGAGAGAGAGAGAGAGAGAGAGAGAGAGAGTGAGAGAGAGAGTTAGATAGAAAGAGAGAAAAATGTGAAAAGAAAAAAATGAAGAGAAAGAGAAGTGAAAAAGAAAACTAAGAAAGAGAACAAGAAAGGAGGGAAAAGAAAGAGAAAGAAACAAAGAAAAAAAACTAAGAAAAATCTGAGAAAATGAGAGAAACAGATTAGAAAAGGAGAAGAGAAAGAGAGGAAGAGGAAATAACGGGAGAGAGAGAGAGAGAGAGAGAGAGAGCAAAAAAAGAAGAGAGAAAACTAAGAAAGAGAGAGAAGGGGGAGAAGTGACCCCCAAAGCTCTGAAGGACTGTGTGCAGGTTTCGGCTTCAGTTCCTCTCGTAACTCACATATTAGTTTCACAGTAGTTTGATTCCTTTACAAAACAACATCTCCAAGGAAGCATAAAGCACTGAACTTTTCCAAATTTCCAAAATATGCAACCATGAAACATTCTGAATGGTCAGTCATGCACAGCTGCCCAGTTCCAGCCACAGGAACCCAACCCTCCAACTCTCCTGACT